GAAGCTGTAATGAGAACTTCAACAAGCATTCTCACTCCTAATTTAAAAAAAAATTGTAAAAAAGTGTGATAGGGTACATTCTAGGGGGCCCAAAGCCTGATTGATACCATGTACATATTTGGGCTTGGAGCCCAAAATCTGATTTTGCAGGGGGGGGGGGGGCCGAGTATTCTTCGTTACACCACTGACTGCTGCTATTTTATTTAACATATTTATTGATTTTATGGCGCAATTTGTACTTTTTCTGAGATGCAAATTTAATTAATGAATGCAATCGTTTTAGGAAAAGTGTAGCCGTCCGGTATCCTCCGCTTTCACAATGTGATCCTACCTGAGGTGGGTTGCAATTGCCAGCCATTCCTAGGTTATAAGGACATTGTTTGACCACTGCGTTTCGGAGATGTCAGCTAAAGGAACATTAGCAGTAGATTATCCGATAGGATATATATATATTCATTATACAATCACAACGACGGAACGGATTTTGGCGCGTTTTGTTTATATCGTGTTTGGCTTCATGGTTCCTGTAACCGATAAATACCATGCACTTTTATAACGTATTTGCGTACATACTTATTTACATCCTAATGCTGCACCGAGAAGGAAATTTATGAGGTAACTCAGTACTAAAATGAAATAATTGATTATTGGATTGTGATTATTACCGACATGGATAACATAACCGCTGCTGCATGCCTTGGGTTGACTTTTGAATGTACTGAGATATGACAGGCCATGCTGCCCTCGCACGTTGCTGAAGTTGATCTGGTGTGTATATACCAGGTCAATCGATCTTAATCATCGACTAGCGTTTTCTATATGCGATTGATTGTGATAGGCAGATAAAGGTAGTAAAGCAATCTGGTGGTCGAAATCTTCGAAATTGCGCGCTATGTGTGGTCGCACATTGTCTGTTTGGAATGTGGTTACCGCGCGGCAAGTTCTGAAGATAAGGACAATAGGCTCTAAAATCTGAGATAGAGCGCTGATTGTTTATTATACAAATTATACATGCTAGGGGGGACTCGGGAATGGAATCCAGTACCATTCCAAACCATAACACCGAATGTTAAATAGTTTCTTAGTGCTTGTAGCTCTACCCTTAACCCCTTATAAACGCCTGTGGTTTTGAGATGAAGGTAATCGCTGCAATAAACGTCTTTCGGATATTCCACTATGCTGAAAACGACGTCAAATGGTACATGCGAACATCGAATATTGTGCAACAGATTCAATGAGGATATCATTCGTGATGTAACACAGTGATCCATCTTTACCTGTCGGTCAGTATTGGTGTATGTATTGGTGGGACGAGGTTAGTGCTGTCCGTTTTCTCCTGCGTCCATCGATTACTGATCCGTAATCACAGTTGATTTCTTATGTCCGACACGACTTGCCGATTTCTTGGAAGGATAATTCGTATTCTCTACAGGCTACGATTTTTGTGGTAAAACGGATCAACATGCATGTCTTTTCAAAGATTGCATCCTAATTATGTACCAATTCTCTCATCAGCTTTTACTGGACGTTCACCACTTTAACCCCTGTAATTTTGAGTCATTTAAATCATGAAAAACACTGTACATTTTAATATTTTGAATCTGAGAAGATAAGTTTTTTGAATAAAATGTGGGGACCTTGTCCTTACGACAGTTTTCTCATTACCCTAGAGTAAATTTGTGTGGTGGTAAAGTGGGCGGCCAACTCGAGTCTCGTTCTCGTCACTTGGCCATGGTTCTAAATAAAGAAGTCCGTCGCGAGTAACCCTAAAGGCTATTAAAGGTTATTTCTCTTCGGTTCAGTTCTCTGTCATCACTATTGAAATCACTAACGCAATATTACGAGGTTTCTCGCAAACAAATTACCTTACCTTGTCGTCATAATTTAGGTAAAGGAAATTAAGAGGATAGTTATTTTTTGTTCCATAAAATTTTTAAATTGCGATAAAAAAAAAACTATTAAAAAAAAATAGCGAAACATCACAACAAAGGCGTGGGAAACTCGAAAAGTTTCTCCTTACTGTGATTGGTCTTAAGGGTAGACCACCCATTATGTTATTTGAAGAAAAAAAAGACATCTATGTTCAAATGTGTTAAATATTCAATGAATATCAAAACGGTTGTGTAATACGTGTAAAATGAAACAACATTCATTGCTGCATCGTGAAAAAAAAAAGTAGCGTATATGTTCGACTCTATGTATATAGCTTTTTGTACGAATAGCTTTTACTATGTCTCCTCCGAACATTTTAATTTAAATTTTATATTGTGGGCTGCTTTAGAAATAACATAAAATATAAAGATATTAAGAGTAACTGCAATCTTTTGAGTGTTGTGATAAAAAAAACCCCATTGTTTTCGTAAATTTTAATGCGAATCAAGTTTATAGAAATAACTTTTTAAATTAAATTTTTTTTTATATTTTATCAAAACTGAATTTAATATTTCAAAGGAAATTTTTAATGAAATATGTCCAGATTGTAGAGATATATATTTACGTTAAACAGCAATGTATGCGAAAACTATCCCTTGACCTGGACTCGAGTTTCGGAAAGCGTGATTACAAATCTAAATGAGTTACAAATAGGAGAGTTTGTTGAAAACTCTATTGTGATGTGTAATTCAAGATGTCACCAAAATCTCTAGATTGTAATAACAAATCTGCATAATTTTATCCTTTTTTAGTAGATTCATTTCCTTCATGCAATAGTACTTTTGAAATGTTTGAAACTGATATTTTACGTCATTCATTGATTCTACCGACTCAATTCCTTAGAAATTAAAATATTAATAATATTTTAGCAGTCGTTAATACATTTTATTTACAGTTTACTTATTATATATAAAATTACTTAATTGCATTGGTATTACCTATTTTTCAATTCTTACTATTAGTTCACTCTCCCTATATATATATAATCAAATTTTTAATCGCGTTAATAAAATACTTTTTATTCATCCACTCAAGTTCTAATACATTTTTTTAACTTGTAGTGGATGACACTTGTTAATACAGTTTATTCAACTATTAATTCGTTAATTCAATTTAATTAATGTATAAATAGAAACAAATAAAAATATTAGTCCAATACCCTGTATGAAAAGGAAAATCGTTCGTTGTGTTCCTGTAGCGCAATGGAGAATGCGCTGGACTTCTAATCCAAAGGTCGTGGGTTCGAGTCCCACCTGGAATGGCCTAATGTCTGAGAATGTGGTTTCTTTTTTACTATACTATTTTATTAGAATAATTACCTTAATTAATGAATAAATAGTAACAAACAAAAATAATAGTCCAACACCCTATATAGAAAGAAAAATGGAAAATTGCTAGAAAAATCGCTTTCTATTTTGCCACTGAATAGTGATTCTGTCAAATGCATATACACATTTATATTAATTGCAATTTAATAAAAAGTAGCTAAAATTAATTTTTTCTTTGTTGACCAAAGTAGGAATTGACTTAAATTTTTTTTATAATACTTGTTTTAATTAGCAATACCCTAATATTACTATATTGTCTGTTAATTTAAGCGTTCAAAACGTTGCTGTGCTGTTCCAGCAAAGAACTTATTTTCATTTTAATGAATAGTTGATATATAATCTGCATACATTACCTATATAGTGAGAGAAATGCAACAATTTTCTCAGTTTTGTGACGGATCGACTTAATCCGGCGATTATTTAGGCAATCTACACATTATTCGAGTTAGTAGCACGATGTAATGCAAGTACGTATATCTTCACGACTCCCAAATTAATCTATATTCTACAGTTAAGGATTTGGAAACAACAAAACGAGTTATTTAGAATAAAAATACACTATTGGGTCAAAA